ATAGTGGCATCAATCTTCTTCCAATAGGTTTTGAGAGAGGATTAGGCAGACTCTTGAATGAGATTAGGACATACAGTTTTTCTTTTTCTTTTTTTTTTCTTTTTTTCTTTTGGTATTTTTAACGAGTGGTCCTAATTACAACCCAAAAAAAAGAAAAAGAAAAAAAGACATCGAATTGGCTTTGGACACAGGTGAAAAACCTAGAGCCACGTGTCGGGAGACCATGGTGTTTTTTTTTGTCCTTCACTTTGGTTTGGTAGCTGTAACCTAGTATTTGAATCTTTCTATGTTTTTGTTAGTGACCTCGACTGAAGAGCTTTAACTCTCCTTTGAATCATATAATTTCATGAAAAGAGCTGCACTCAAATTTTGATCTTTAATATTATTAAGATTTTAACATATGAAAGGAAAAAACAAATAAAAACTCTTATTAATTTTGCATGTTGAGTTCTTGGTTTATATAATGCTTGCTTTATGAATGTATATATATATATATTGTTTACCTTTCTTCAATTCTCAGCTCTATAGCTTACATCATTAGGGAAAATGAGGCCTTTTATGTATGAGATATTTTGAGTTTGAGAGTATATATCATGCTGTCAAGATTTCGTGAGTTCAATCATATTTAATTATCTCATTTTTTTGAAGATTGTGTATGATATATACAACAATTATATATCAAGTACATTCATTAGAGAGAGTTTAGGAAGGTAATTATAGTTCATAGTGGAATGTGAGCCATATATGTTGACATTTTTAGTCAGGGCTAGCAAAGCATCTCCTAAAATTCTTTTATTTCATTTCTTTGGAAATCATGAGTTCAAATAATTATGTTAACCTTCGAACCATTTCAAAAAGTTCTTTTTTAGTGTCATTCTCAATTCATATGTGTTATAGTTCTGCGACGATGTAACATTTTTTTACGGTAGATGATGATCAAGGACTTTGAACTAAAAACCTCAAACATTTCAAAGATAATTTATCTCTTTTACATGGTTAAAACTAGATAATTTTCTCAAAAGATCGTTATCAAATAGATTACTTATAGCTTAATTTCTTCTAAGCTCATTTATTTGGGGATTTCTATTCTAAAATCTGATTAAGGTTTTGATTTGGCTTCCCAAAAACAGCATGGAGAAGATTTTAGAAAGATATGAGAGATATTCCTATGCAGAAAGACCATTTGCCGGAAATGCAGATTCTGAAACACAGGTAAATATACATATCTGAATTTAATTTGCCTTAATTAATTACTATTTTTAAGTCTTGTCCTCTTATTGACTAGCAAATTCATGGAAAGTGCGCAAATTTTTGGCATACTTTTAACTAATTCTTGCTGTTTACAACAATTTTTACAACTTAAAAAGGACTGAAATTTACCTCCAAAGGGCAGTGTCTTACTTGTTTCGGGTTTGGGATGCCTTGTCTTGGAATCTTGATCTAGTACATGTTCAAATATTTAAATTTGATCAATCTAATGTTTTTTTGGGTTAGTGTTTTGGTTTAAATAAACTTTGAATCTTGTGGAGTCTGGTAATTAGTTCATGAATTCTTTCCCCAACTAAACCAAACCAACCAAAGTTTATTATTAATTAGAAAATATTATGTACTATAAAATTTCTTAGGTATTTTAACAAAGGACTACAATATGATATTTAACTACTTTTGGAATAAACAATCAAAATAATTCGAACTAATTCAGCCTAAATATTTCATAGTTTGATTGAGCTGAATCCATCACCTTACTAGAGTGATTCTAATGGGACAAAATTTTACGTACAACTCAAATAGTTAAGTTCAGATACCGTAGGAATGGAAAAAGATCGATGTCGAGTTTTGATAAAGTATATAATAATCCATCATATCTATTCAAATAGGATAGAGTTGGGTGAAAACTAAAAGTGAATCATCTTATTATTTTTCTTTTTTACCCTTTTGAATTGCAAAATGCCCTTGTAGGTAAGTTGGTGTCAAGAGTACCCAAAACTTGCAGCTAGATTGGAAATTGTACAGAAGAACTTGAGGTATTTGAACAGATCTTATAAATACAGTAACTTTTTTGCCAAGTTATGCTAGGTAAAAGTAACCATCTTGAATTAAAGTCACAACTTTTATTTTAGTACAATATATTGGGGAGGAGATTCGAACTCACAACCTCTTGATTGGAGGTGTATGTCAATTACCATTGAGTTACGTTCGCTTTGGCAAGTCAACATTTTTTTTAATTAAGAAAAAATTAATTAAATTATTTGAATTCACTTTAAGAAACGACTAGTTTACTAAGATTGTATATGACCCTAAATCATAACTCAATTAGTTAAGGTATCTCCAACCAAAAGATTGTGAGTTCGAATCTCCATCCCTACATGTTGTACTAAAAAAAATATATTATTGACTCTGACTTTTTGAGTGTGATAAATTGTATTATCATATAGCTTTACCAATTTTTATGGTAGTAAGAATTCTTCTTTTATATGTAAAATCGCGTGTTTTCCAATGCTGAATAGTGAGATTATTAGCATGAGATAGAAGAACACAACCAACTTTTTCATATAATTACCTTAAACCATCAATCAACTTAAAAGCTTAAGCTGATAAATTTGGGTAAATTTAATCTTTTATAGATAGTAAATAAATATTAAAGGGAGAGGAAATTACACTATAACAATTCTAACAAAAGATATCGTGTTTGTCATCATGTTAAATCATCTAACTATTTCTCTCTATTGGAGTGCTTTCATCTAGGCCTCCTCTTTTGTTTGTATATCTCTCACCATACTTTTAATGAATATGGTATTCTTCTTCTAAAAAAATCACCAATCAATCCAAAATTGTCAACCAAAATCGAATTCATTGCAACAAGAAAAAAAATATATTGTAATATAAGTTAGGGTAATTTTACGGTGCCTTTTAACACATTCTAAACATTCTAATATGGATAAACTTTGAGTTTTTTTTTTCTTTTGAGTACAACATGTGGGGTGAACATTCAAACTCACGACCTCTTAATCGAGAAGAGATGTTTTAACCCACCGTGGTCGTCGAACTTGATTAGTTTGTTGCTATCAAAATCATTGATATTTTATTATTTAAGAGAGTACACTGTACACAACAGTAAGTAATATAGTGTGGGAATTAGTTCTACTTATGATAATGGGATGTGACTGTTTAAGTTTAGTTTTATAATTTTGAAATGATAAATGGGGTGTAATGATTGGGAAAACCCGTTGATTAATGAGAATTAATCACTGTTTGTTATCATTGGTTTTAGGAATTATTTGGGACAAGATCTTGACCCTTTGAATTTGAGAGAACTTCAAAGCTTGGAGCAACAACTTGACTCATCACTCAAGCGCATAAGAACCAGAAAGGTCTGCCCCCACTTTTTTTTTTGGGTTTTTTCCTTTTTAATCTCAACTTTCATTTCAATTAATCACCATTTTTGTACATTTTTGCCCATGTGTGAATTTTCATAAATCTTTGCCCTTATTCTTCCAAAGCTTATATAATTTACAAGCCCTCGTATCTTTTCTGCCCGCCTCTTTGGTCTTAAGAATGCTGGACAATCAATCCGTAGTGACGGAAATCTAGGAATGAAACCCTAAAGTACAATTTTTATCTCTTATCATTATTTAGTGATGTAATTAGATACAAAAAGAAATAATATTAGTGAATTTTTTATAAGAAATATATCAGAAACTTCCGTTCAAAAACCGTCAGGAGAAAATAACCTAAAAGACCAAGGGACAAGAGTCCTATTGGAAATGCGATTAAAGTTGCACATTGACTTAGATATGGAGAAATCATGAATATATAAGTGATTAACAACATCTTTATTGGTATGAAGTCTTTTAGATGAAACCAAAAGTAGAATTACGAAAGACTTATGCTCAAAGTGAAAAAATATATCATACCATTTTGTAGAAATGTGCAAAGGGTCCGCTATCTTTAACAATTGGTATCATAGTCATGTCCTTGACTTGGCTATGTTGGTAAAATCCTCGGTGTGAATTGTGGCATCTATGGTTAAGCCCTATGGCCTGAATAAGAGTTTAGACTATTTGAGTGGAAGCTTGGTGGTACTTTGTCGTGGAAATATGGAGGGTTTTTGTTGTTCCTAACATGTCCCTTTGTCTCTCAAAATAATGTGTTACGTAAAAGCCCTCCAATCTAGATCGATAGTTTAACCTTCCCTTCCCCGTCACTTATAACCTTGTGAATTTTTATAACTGTTTTTGAAATCTCTACCTGTGCACTGAGACACTATATTTCTATGGATAGTAGCATTTTATAGCATCTTGCTTATGATAGATTGAAATGATGAGCTTATTATATGTTGCAGAACCAACTGATGCAAGAATCCATTTCAATGTTACACAAAAAGGTGAGTAACTTTTGCAGCAAATTTTGGCATCATTATTTTTCTCTGTGTTAAGACTCTAGTTGCTTTACATTATGTGTAAATTTTGCTTTGAAAATGGTTTCAGGAAAGGGAATTGCAAGAGGAGAACAGGCAGCTAGCAAATAAGGTAAAGTAGATTAGTAGAAGAGGCTGTATATCCCATTTGGTAGCCCGTGGAAGATGGGAATATAAATAATATAAATGATAGGCTGATAACTATTTCGTAATTTTCCGTTCCTAAAAGACTAACAATGTTTAGGTGTATTTTTTCAGTTGAGTCCCTACCGTTTTAAAAGTTTCTATTTAGTCTATTACATTTTTCAATTTACTCAGTCCATCATCGTTTAAAATTGATTAATGCTAAACTTGCATATTAGTGAATGGGTGGAATTTTAGCGGAGGAAAAAGGAATATGAAAAGAGAGTTTTTAGTTCCTCCTTAAAATTTCTAAGAAATTAGTAGAAATTTTGAATTTTCTATACGACCTTTTTTCTTTTCTAAATTTCTACCAATTCACTATTTATCCTGTCATATCAAATTTATCACCAGTTAATTTTATCATTTTTTAAGAGATTAAATTGAAAAAGGTTAAAACTTAAGCAATTAAATAGAAACTTTTTAAACAACAAAATAGTCAAAAATTAGAGACTAAAACTTACATTTAGCCTTTCCAAAATCTATGCTTGCTTTCTTTCACCATTTCTTTGGGTGTATTTTAAACTTTTCTTAAAAACATATTTGCACATTTGAATTTTTAGCCCCACACACATGTGTGTATATAGTTTTTAAAATTTGGCTTTAATTTTGAAAACGAAAAGATAGATAATAAAATCATACTTAAAAAAATATATAGAGAAAAGTTGTACAATTATGAAATTTGAGTAAGTAATTAATTTGTGTGTGGGTTCTTGATTTGAAACAGGTAAAGGAGAATGAGAAAGGTATGGCCGAACGTGGACACTGTGACCTGCCAACCTTGGTGCAAAATCAGCCCATTTTTGCAATGCCACCACAACTTCCTTTATCTATTGGGTATCTCTCCTCGTGGCATTGACTCGATTGATTAATGTTCATGTGATATGCTATAAAGAGATGGTCCTTAAATAACGTGCATGTAGTTTAGCATATCATGTGAGTGCGTTGAATAAATTAAGGTAATCTCACAAGTTTGGAGACCGAAGGACTAAGTAGATATCCTTAGAGTTTAGGGATGAGTTAACCTTTAAATAATTATAGTCGGGTTCGTTTTGGGTTTACTTTTTTCAGTTGGTCTTAAGAAACCTTAGGCTCAAAGACCAAAGATAAATAATGTTATTATTTAAGTGTTTCAAAAATCGAAAACACGAATAAGAATTATAAAATTAAGTGTCTGTTTCTTGTTCTTGTGTTGAAAGAAATAATGTTTGATAACATTTTTTGTTTCTGGTTCTTTCTCGATATAACTATATATTTTGAGATGCAGAGGAACCTTGCATGAAAGAGGAGGATCAGGTGAAGATGAAACGAGGCCAACAAGCGCCAACGTTCAAATACCAGCATGGATGCTGAGTCATGTGCCCGAAAGGCCTCACAACTAGAAAAATGACACCATCGGTCGTCTTCTTCGGGGCAGGTGGACAGCCAACACCACCATTGTTGCCGAGCAAATGGCTATGGGGGCAGAGGGGAGAAAAAGAGAAGGGATGACTGTGGAGGTTGATTTTTGAAGATGTGAAGTGCAAGTTGCCCTAACTTTTTAAGACAGCTCCCACACCCCAAATGGCCATATACCCTAATCACACAAAGCCTAATTGTTATTGTATTTTGTAGATGTTGATTATTTCTCAAGACCTACTTGTGATGGCTAATTTGAAACATTTCGAAAGGAAAATGAAATGTAGATACTTCTAGCCCATTTGATAACGTTTTTTTTCCCTCATTTCCTATTATTTTGTTTCTTACAGTTAATTTATGTGTTTCAGAAACTAAAAACACAAACAAGAATTATAAAATTATTTGATGACATTATTTTGGTATTCTTACCCTATGTTTTTCATGAATGATGTGTGTTTTTTCTCTTAAGAACAAAATACAGTTGTTTTAAACACACATCATTTGTGAAAAAACATATAATTTTTATACAAAATTTTTACCTCTAAATTTTAACTCACTCATGCGTTATCATGTCACTTAAATTTATCATCAATTAATCTTAATGTTTTAAAATATATATAATTAAAAATATCAAGCATTATGAACTAAATTAAAACTTTCATAGGAACTAAATTTAAAAATACTCCCACATCATAGACAAAATATATACTTAGCCAATGTTTTATTACAAGTTATACAAAACCTATTTAACCAACTCCTTTCTCTTCATGGTCCAAACACGTGTACAAACTCCGTTAAAATATCAATTTTATTTCTTATGCTTTACGGCTTATTCTATTTGTGTCCTTGCATTAATTATGAGGTTAAATTTCAAATTTAGTGCTTACAGTTTAGGAATAAATTCAATTTGGTCCTTACGTAAGTTTCAATTTAAGCCTACGAATTGACCTTAGTTTCAATTTGGTCCCTATGATTTTAAAAATTTTAATTTGGTCTTTAAAATTGTCTTTGTCATTACAACATTTTGACCCATCTTTTTACATGAAAATGAACTGATATTTTATATTTGGCTAAATTTTTTTAATCGATTATACTAAGGTTGAGGTATGTGTACAGAAAGAGAAGAAAATATGTGAATTTTTTGAGTAAAAAATAGTCTATTATAAACCATTTGTGAAGTTTAACCAAATTAGAGGGCCACATTGGAAATAAACTCAAACCGATAAGAATAAAATTTGTATTTTAACCTATTTATAAACATCCAGATTTAGTCCGTATAATTTCAATAAATCTTAAAAATAGTACCTATAATTTTCTTCGGTAGAAATTAACCGCGAAGGCTTTTTTTTATTTATAATGATTAAGACTAAATTCAAACATTTAGAAATACAAGAATTACAATAGTGTAAATCCACACAAGTATAAGCAATCATAACGGTGTCCAAGTACCAGCATCATAAAATGTTATTTTTCTCTTTAATCTTTATCACTCTACTCTCAACTTTGTCCACTTCAATCATTGTAATTTTAAAATATTCGTTTTGTTTCGTGTGTATTTTCAAAAATTGATTATTTTAATCCTTATTTATAAAATTCTGTTCACAAAAAATACAATGAAAACTATTTAGTATGAAATTAAGGTTATATTTCAAATATATTAAGTGCAGTGAAATCGTGATCCAAAAAAGGTAAAAAAGAATGGACCAAAATGATCACTTTTTTAAAATATAGAGACCAAAATCAATATTTTAAAAATACATTAACTAAAATAGATAACTGTACAGCCACCAAAATAAAATAAATATTTTAGAACAACATATACGTGTAGCCACGAAAACGGTATTTTATTTTTTAACATTGAAAAAAACACCGCAACTATATTTTAAATTTTATTTTTCACTCCCTTAGGCTTATTTATTATTTATTATTTCCCGGTGTGAAAGTCGTAGGTGGTAGGTAAACGTTGAAAATGGAGAAGCTTCAAATATGGCCATGCCCCGGATTCAACTGCCACTGCGGTTCGTTTCTCCCAACAGATTCCAAATTGCAGCTTCCAAAATTTTCCAGGTAAAATCCATTTTTCTTTCTCCCCAAACCCCCAATTTTTGTTCTATCGTGTTTCCTTCTCCTAGATTCAACTTACCAATTCGTTTTCCACATTTCAATAATTGTGTATATAACGATAATCAATGGGAAAAAACCTCGAACGAAATTGTGAGATTCAGAGGCACTATTGGTTCGATTTTGACTCTTCTGATGGCTTCAAATTGTTGGAGAAACTTTCAGAAAAAGAACGCGAATCTAAGTTTTCTCATAGGGAATTTGTAATCCACGTTTGCTGGTTGTTTTACCGATTGATGAATTGTTTTTATGATTATGTTGTTGGGGTTTAAATCTTAAATGTAGTGTTTGTTTGACAATTTGAACCTGATGGGCTGGTTGTGTTTCCGTTTCAGGGGGAGTACAAATATTTCAGGATCATGGCTGAGTCGGTTGGAAGTAGGAATATGGAGAAAAAGCTTATACAAATTGATATAAGCTCAGATACGGTTTGCCCGTGGTGCTTTGTAGGCAAAAAGAATCTTGACAAAGCTATAGCGGCTTCTCAGGATCAATATGATTTTGAGGTTCTTATCTAATCTATTGTCATCTTAAGTATCAAGTTTTGGTAGATTTGAGATACTTGCCAATTCGGGCGATAAATTAAAAAAGTTGGACTATTTTAGTTAGACATGAGAGATTGAATGCATAGATAAAAGATCTTCCTCCTCTGATCTACTTTCTTTTCTTCTTGGTGTAGATAAAAGGTGTGTTCATATGTATAAAGGCTATTGTTTCACATGAGAACTTCCTTCTGCCATAGCTGTACTTTGTTTGAGAATATGATGAAAATGTTAAATTTCACTTGGATATTAGGAGAATATGAAAGAGTGAAATATGTTGCAATGGCTTAACTAGTTAACTCAAAACCCCTCCTCATTCTAACACCATGTTAAATCTTCCACTACATGTGGAAGCTCAAAACAATTGGGCTAAGGTTAGTTTATTTTTAATCTATTCTCAATATGTTTGGTTCCAACCTAAGTATAGTAGCTGGTTAAGGTATTATCTACTTGTCCTAAAGATGAGATGTTTAAATCCTTATCCTCGTATAGTTAAAATTCAACAAAGAATATGTTGTTAGAAACTTATCTTGCCCTGCTCCCGTTAAGGAACTCACATTTTGCAACCACGATGAATAAAAAGCATGAGCCATGTAATGACCCGTTCCCCAACCTTTGTTGGTTACTCCAATTTCATGTTTTCCAGTAGTGGAACTATATGATCAACCTATTTTAGTTCATAGAGTAAGATCAAGAACTGACTTCCATCCACATCCAATTCTCTCATAGTTTATATGCTGTTCCAACATTAATAATTGTCAACGTAAATTTGCAGTTAAAGTGGCATCCATTCCAGCTCAATCCTTCTGCTCCCAAGGAGGGCGTTGTTAAGAGGGAATTTTACAGGACGAAGTTCGGAATTCAATCTGAACAGATGGAATCTCGGATGGCAGAGGTTTTACAATATGATGAACAATTCTGAAAGCTTTCTTGGTGGTTTTTTTTTTTCTAATCAATTTGTCCCCCATGAATACTAAGTAACTCTGAAATTTGGGAATCTTTCAGGTGTTTAGGGGTCTTGGATTGGATTATGACATGTCTGGACTGACGTAAGTGGTGAAGCATATATAAGGATGGACTTAAGAAAGCATGATTTTCTCTAACACTTCGTTGTATTTGCAGGGGAAATACTCTAGACAGCCACAGACTTATATATTTGGCAGGTCAACAGGGTCTAGACAAGCAACATGACCTTGTGGAGGAGTTGTGCGTTGGATACTTCACTCAAGGAAAATACATTGGTGACCGGTATGTCGCCGGAATTTTGTTGACATACCTGGATTTCTGGAGAGAATTTCTTACAGTAATAATTAATGGCATGGCATTATAGACGTGATCACAGTGTCGAATTGTTGTAGGGAATTTCTTTTGGAATGTGCTAGAAAGGCTGGGGTGGAAGGAGCAGCTGAGTTTCTCGGGTCAGATGATAACGGAGTGAACCAGGTATCGACACAAGTCCTATATGCTTTATTTGGTTGCCTAGACCTAGATATGATGTTCTTATTGTACAAGCCGCCTAAGTAGTCTCACCCACCTCCCCACAAACACCAAACCAAAGAAGGAGATTCCTATTGTATAGACTTTTTCATTGCATAATGAGGCATCTCTAGTGAGTTTTGAGCAATAACCACTAGAAACGGCTATGGGAGCACTCCCAGTTAGTGGCAGTCCTGTGGTGATTGTTGTTGTTGTTGATTCTCCTCTGTAGTGGCAATTAAGTTTTAGTGGAGGATGAAGAAAATACTAGAGAGTAATTAGGGGATCAGATTGTGGGCCCTTTTGAGTTTCATAAAATGTGGGGTGAGGATTGAACATTCAAGCTTATGGAAGGGAAGGTAATAGGTGTCTAAAACTTTGATTGTGGTTTAAACAATATTTTGCAGCCAAGTATAAATATCTAACTAAAAGCTCATTGAATTAACCTGTCTTAAATTCATTCAATCATATTTCCTAACAAAGTTAGTTCCGAGTTCCAACCGCAAGCCCCGGATTTTGCGTTTGCTGAAATTTATGTGTTAAGACAGTTACTTCCATGGTTCACTGTAGGTTAAGGAAGAGCTTGAGAAGTACTCGGGAAAAATTTCAGGAGTCCCCTTCTACGTTGTAAGTGACAAGCAAACAACTTTATCCAAACTGAGCTAAAAAGTTAGGTCAATTCTTATATGTTCTCATTTTTCCCCCATCACAATCTTGTGGCAGATCAATGGGAAGCATAAACTGAGTGGTGCTCAACCCCCTGAGGTTTTCCTAAGAGCTTTTCAAGTGGCTGGAAAATAAAAGCTTTTGGATTTAACACCATCAATAAGAATGTAACTTGTTTGCTGAAACACCAGAATACATACTTGTTGATCTTGTATTTATTACCATATTGAAAATGCATGTCAGATCAGACTACTATTTACTGTTTTCCCAGCAATAAAATACTAGGTTGTACTCTGTTAGCTTAGCCCATGTTGACATTTTAATAGCTTTGTTTGGACAGAAATATAGTATATAATGAAATGGAGTTATTCAAATGATCTGGACCATTCATTAGCAATTTCTAATATGATTGAGGTAATCCCTTTTGAAATGAATGTCACCCTTCTAATTTTTGTTCCGAAGCACGAATACGGACCCGAAATAGGAATATGTTATGACACAAACATGGTGACATATAATTTTTTGCGGCAAGGACACGTTTATTAAATTTATACATTTTTTAAAAATAAATATCATTTTTCCAGAAGATTCAAAACTAATAAGTTTTATGCATTTATATGCTTGGGAAAAAAAATGATTTTGATATGTTGCACTTTCGAACATAACTTCAAATGTAACCAGAAAAACCATTTTTATAGCATTTGCCTAATAAGTAGAGTAGAAACTTATTTTTAGAAATGTCGTTTTCCAATTTTATAGTTTTAGATTTCTACATGTATAATTTTTTTTTTATAATATCGATTTTACCCTTATTTATTGCATTTACATTAGTTTTTTTTTTTAAATCTAAAACATTTAATTCCCTAAATTGTAATCATATTCTTTCAATTATTAAGGGCCTCATACAAATTTTCAACACTAATCTCTTAATCACCTCAAAAATATCCCAATTCCTCTCTCTCTTTGTGTAATTTTCTACTGGTTGTCGGAATGCAAAATATATCAAAGTTTATAAGGTGAGACAAAACAAACCTTCCGAACTCCATTCTTGAGTATATACAAAAGTTCTCACAACTACTTAAACATTATAAAATATATCCGACTAAACTTTTTGAGTTATAAAATATATCCGGATATAATCCCATATTAACTTGGATATCTTACTATTTTCAAATTATTTACAACTATCTCCTTAAGGTGATACTCTAATTCAAACTAGTTAATAATGATTCTGACTAGTTCTATATTTTATCTAATATACCCAACTCGACTGAGTATAAGGAATCAAACTCACTATAAGATATATCTTCATATATACAATAGTTCACACCCAAATTTTGCACCACTGAAATCATAGCAGTACAAAAGCAACCATTGAAGATATATGGGTATGGGAGGGGTTTCGAAGGGGTTAACAGTAAAAAAAATAAAAAAGAATAATAAAAAAACTCAGGGTTTTCAACATTGTTAAAATCTGAAATCGAAAACTACAATGATATATTGGATGCAAAATATATCGAAGCTTATATGGTGAGACAAAACAAACATGTTGATCTCCGGTTCCTGAGTATATACAAGAGTTCTCACAACTACTTAAACATTATAAAATATATCAGATTAAACTTTTTGAGTTATAAAATATATCAGACTAAACTTTTTGAGTTATAAAATATATCCGAATATAATCTCATATAAACTTGGATATCTTACAATTATTTTCAAATTATTTACAACTATCTCCTTAAGGTAATACTCTAATTCAAACTCGTTAATACTTAACTAGTTCTATATTTTATCCAATATACCCAACTCGACTCAGTATAAGGAATCAAACTCACTATAAGATATATCCCCACAAATTTTGCACTACTGAAATACAAAAACAACCATCGAAGATATATGGATATGTAAGGGGTTTAACAAAAAAAAACCAGGGTTTTCAACATTGTTAAAATCTGAAATCGAAAACTATGAGGATATATTGGATGCAAAATATATCGAAGTTTATATGGTGAGACAAAATAAATCTTCCAATCGGTGACTAGACAATGGTCTGGATAAACGGAGACGAAGGAGAAGCTAGACGGACTGCTCCGATGACGGAGAAGAACGAAGACGGAGACCAGAGACGAAGGAATGCAAATGGCAGCCGAAGATGAAGTAGCAGACGGAAATCGAACGATAGAGGAGGAAGAAAAGTCGGAGGAAGGAGGTTTTCAAATTTTTTCAATAATGGAGGATTTTGGGGATTTACTATTTTTTACTAGTATAATTAGGCAAAATTTAAGGGGTTTAAATTGTAACCTCGAGTAACCAATTTTGGATTTTAAAAATTAATTAATATTGAGGTGTAGATACAAAATGATATACTACTAATTTGTTGATGGGTACCATCTTAAATAGGGTTGTTTTATGACAAAAATATAAATTTTACACATTCAATAATCTCTAGTCCATCAATGTACTAATCTCTAATAATAAATATGGTCAATAGAAATCATTTTAACAGTAGTATAATGTGATTAGAAATCATTTTAACAGTAATATAATAATGTGATGTGATACCAATTTGAACATTGTTCAAATAAGTAAGTCATATATCCTTAACTAAAAGAATATTTCCCCTACATATTTAATTCCAATAAAAAAAATAATAGTGTTATTTCATTCTTGAGATTAATAAATTATTTTGAAAGTAGGAGTACAGTGACATGTTAAAATTATAATAATTTGAATAGACAAATCTTAACTTAGACTCGTAATGGACAAATAGGATTGGATTGCAAACCTTCATATATAAATATTCAACAATTTATTAAACACAATATTGAAAATTTAGAAACTTATTAAATTAAATATTTTTTAAAATTTAGAGATTTATTAAACATCATTTTTCTACCGGCACTTAAAATATAATTTTCTTTTTTAAATAACAAAAGTTACTTTACTAACTCTATAATTTATTTATCAGGAAATAATTTTTAAACTTCTAAAACTCGATAAATTATTATCATAATAACGAGAAAAGAAAAGCATTCCTTTGACAAGAAAAAAGAGCAAAGCTTCAACCATAATCATCCATGTAAAATAATTATTTCACATTTTAAACCGTTATTAAGAAAAATTACAATAATTTTTTTTTCTGTCTGTTTTGCAAATTCTTCATGAAAATCTAGGATTTGAGCACAGAAATTCCGCATCTGAAAAAAGCAAAAAGAGAACTTCTTTTTGAATTAAAATTTGAAACTATATTTTTCATACAACATTTCCTCGCTTCCATTTGCATATATAATATGAGCGGGACCTTTGATTCGAACCTTTCAACCGAAAAAACTGAGAGATTATCTTTTTGAAAGGAGGGTTAAAAATTGGCTTCACCGGACTCGGAGTTTACACTCTGTTTTTGAAATTTGTTCTGTTTTGTCTTGGTTGGTTCGACTTCTTCTCCGGCGAATTCCTTGAAGAATCACTGTCAGTTTCTGAGACTGGTTTCACTGTGAAGGGGGATTATGGAATTTCTGCCATTGGAGGTAATTTCTTCTCGGAATTGTTGAGTTGGTGGTTCTTAGTCGGAGGACTAAAGGGTCGATCTGATTTGGGGATTTCTCCTTAATCCCACAAAAGGGCAAGTCTCCGTATGAAATCAATGAGCTTTACGGAGCTCAGTTTCTGCTAATTGTTGTCTTTCCCATCAGTTTTCTCGGTGGAATGCTATGGGTTTCGCCAAAGAGAATTGATTGTTTCTCCATTTCAGCAAACGGGGTTCACATTTGGAATTTTGAAGGCCCAGTGGATGGCGATTTAGTCTGCAAAATAAATTTGGAACCCTAGAAAGTTCCACAATGCAGGGTGCATCTGGCTCCACGGCCCAGCCGGAGGCCATTCTCGAATGGCTTCAGAAGGAAATGGGGTATAGGCCACTAGGTTCATATAGCGCCTCGAGCAAATCGCAGTTGCCTTCAATCGATGCCTTCCGCAAGGTTTGTCGCGGAAATATGATACCCATTTGGAATTTTTTGATTAATCGAGTGAAATCGGAGAAGACGGTGGAGAATATTAGGAGGAACATAATGGTCCATGGTGGTGGTGGTGGAGGGGGCGAGAGCAGTAGCGGTGGATCAGCTAATTCAGGGAAAGAAGAGGGCAGGATAAAAGGCAGGAGGAAGGATAAAGTGGCTGCAGAGAGCACAAGTATGGTAGAGACTCGAGAAGCGGCATTGCAGGAAAGGGAATTGGCGGAAAAGGAAGTGGAGAGATTGAGGAATGCTGTTAAAAGACAACGGAAGGATTTGAAGGCCAGAATGTTGGAAGTATCTAGGGAGGAGGCCGAGCGAAAAAGAATGCTTGATGAGCGAGCAAATTACAGGTTTGGTTACAGCTTTTTTTTTTTTTGGCCGCTTTAGGAACCATTGGGAATTTCTTACATGTTTGGATTTGAAGGACTAACAGACAGTCTCATACAATCATATCCGAGGCTGGGCCTAGAGGCTTCTTTTCTTCATTTCTGAGTCTCTGGTCATGTCAACTTTGGATTCAATGTAGTACTTCCGAAAGCAACTGATATTTCCTATCTTTACTATTTTATGTACACTGTGGTGCTTACTTCAATAAGTATAAGTTACTGTGGCATGAATTTGGATGAATGGGATCCTACTCTTTAACTCTGGTAACTAGTATTAAGTGGTCAGGTGGTCACGGTATAGTTTTTGGCTGTCTTTTATTGGTAAATAGAACAGAAGTGTGCTAAGCTCTTTATACCACCTTTTTGGATTGGCTTTATTATGTTATGACTTGTTGTCATTAGAAATTTATGTGTGGATTGGTTAGTGTGGATTTCTAGGAAGTCCGATTTATGGAATTTCTGGTCAAGCATTTTGTCTTGGCTTTATGAAGGGTTTGGTTGATAAACTTATCCTTGTGACAGAATGCGTATTGGTCATGTACAACTACACCTCTGTCCTCTGTCCTCTTAGTCTTGTATTTCAACTCTGCAGCCGTAAGATGGCACATTATAGGAATACTCATTCTTTTAGTGCATCAAGTATGGTAGATTTCTGAACAAATTTTTCAGTTTTTCTTAATGAATTTCAACCCCCCATATTCCTCTCCCGTATGTGCTAGAAAGTTTGTGGAAATAGTAACCTGTCTCAGATAGGGATGGGGAAGGGCTAGAAGCCTCCTTCACATTGAAAAAAAAAAACCAAAAAAAACAAAACAAAAAGAAAAACATTGGAGGAGACTAGGAAGGTGGTTTTTAGCTTTAACGACAACAAATTGCCCAATCTCAATAGTCTCCCATTGGCTTTCTTTTAGGAAAATTTGGACTTTAACCAAGGTGGATTTGGGTAACGTGTTTTTATGCATTCTGTGAGAGAGGCATTATAATCCTTCCATGAATGAGACCATTATTTGTCTCATCCCAAGAAGGAGAGTGCTAGGGGAGTGTAGGATTTCAGACCTATCAAACTTTGTTACTAGCATGTATGAGATTATTGCTAAGGTTCTAGCGGTAGCTGTATTCTCCTCAACACTATTTTGGAGCATCGAGGAACTTTACTACAGGGAGACCGATTTTAGATGAGATTCTTACTGCAAGCGAGTCAATCCAAGATTATGAAGTTCACAAGTTGGAGGAGTTCGCAGGTTGGTGGGTTTTGTATTTAAGATTGATTTTAAGAAATCTTATGATAATGTGGATCAGGGGTTCTTGGATAAAGTGATGTGGAGGAAGCGTTTTGGGTTTAAATGGATATCTTGGGTGCGGAATTGCCTATGAACCAAATTTTCCATCTTGGTCGATGGTAAACTTAGGAGTAAAATTTCTTCCATGAGGGGTGTGAGACATGGAGATATCTTATCCCTTTTCTATTCCTTGTAGTTATTGATGTCCTTGCCAAGATGGTGTCCCTTCAGGTTGATGATGGTGGTTTGAGGTTTCCATGTGGGTTGGGAGAGAGTTCTTGTTTCTCTGGTTTGTGGACGATACGATATTCTTTTGTTTGGGGAAGATTTTTTTTTTCTTTCTTTTCATTTTTTTTTGGAGAAGAAACAAATTTCATTAATGTAATGAAATAGAAAGGAAGTACAAAAGGGGAAGGTCCCAAACCAATGGTGTTACAAAAAAGCTCTCCAATTTGTTAAAAGAGAGACAAAGCTATAGTGCTTAAAGATGGGGGAACATTTGCACCATGATACAACCAAAGACACTATAGATTCAAAAAGACTGCGAGTAGGTAGCTCCCTTCCATGGAAAATCCGGCGGTTTCTTTCCTGCCAAGTCGACCACAGCAGAGCCCTAACAAAATGTTTCCACAGGGTTTTTGCTTCACTGTTGAAGGGGGGTTCCACTAGTGTTGAGGATAGAAGAGAGTGAGGATCTGTGTGAAGGATTAAAGACCAGCCAAAAGATGAAAGAAGATTCTCCCAAAGCTTTGTGGTGTATTTACATGAAACAAGAATGTGCCCCAAGGATTCTTCATGCTTCTTACAAAGCACACACCAGTGTGGGGAGAGACACAATTTCGGCATCTTTCTTTGGAGCTTGTCATTAATCAATAAAAAGTTTGTTTCTTGTTAAGGAAAAAGAAAAAAGAATCCATTATGGGACAAGAGTTCTCTTTGTGATATTAATTGTGAGTCCTCTAAGCTTGAGAGGTGGGCCTTCACAGCTGAGTTGTGAGATTGGTTTTATTCTTTTTTAAGTCTTTGGGTCTTCCCTTAGGTAGGTTCCTAATTGTTTGTCCTTTTGAATCCCGGTGAAGGAGAAGGTCCAAAACATCTTTCCTTGTGGAGAAATGATTTCTTTTCAAAAGGTGGAAGGTTGAAACTTATCTAGTTGGTTATGAGTGGGATCATGATTCTGACTTTTTCTATGTCTATATTTAGGATTCTTTCCTCCTTGTGTTCTAGGGTGGAAAAGATGATGAAGAATTTTCTGTGGGAAGGCATTGAAGGGGTCACTTAGTTTAGGTGGAAGGTTGTGACCTGACCTATTATTCTAGGGGTTTGAGCATAGGAAATTTGAAAGTTGAAACTTTGTGTTAAGAGGCCTTTTGCAAAATAGTTACGGTGGTTTCCTTTGGAAACTGATGCTTGGTGGCGTGGGATCATTGTGAGCAAGTATGGTTCTCTCTCTAATTAGTGGATCTCAAGTCATAGGATCAAAGGTACTTTTAGAAGCCCATGGAAATCCATCGCTTCGGGTTATGTAAAATTCTCTAGCTTTGTGAGGTTCACTATTGGGGACATATCATTAATTCGATTCTGGCAGGATTCTTGGTTGGGGGATAATCTCCTTTTACTCCTGTCCCCCAACAATTTATCCTCCTCTATGTTTGCTTTGGTGGCTTTTGTCCCGGTCCTTTTGAGGTTACCCTTGATATAATTTTGGTTGTGGGCATGTTTTTATTGATTGCGAGTCTGTGGAGGTCCTCTGATGCTCTCTTTGTTGGCTGAATTCGTTTCTCCAGGGTCATCGGAGTTTGTTTATGGTCCCCTTTTCCCAAGGTTTCTTGTAGCTTGTTTTTCTCTCTTTTGCACGGCTCTCAACTATCGCTCTCTGTTTTTTTCTCTCATTTTGGAAGGTGTGAATTTCTAAGAAAGTTAGATTTTTGCATGGCAAGTCTCTAACATGTGGACCAATACCATTAACATAGGGCCTAGTGAAGTAGAGCTTGTATAAGTGCCTCTGAGGATTTGGAGAATGTTTTGTGAGGTGCCGAGTGATATGAGATAGTTTTTTATGTTAGGCTCTTGGAGTTGGAGTGCATATGGCTTTTAGTAGGTCATGCTAGTTTGTGATGGAAGGGGTGTTATTTCATCCTCCCTTTTGAGGGTAAGGGTGGCTCTTTCACATGCAGATTTCGTTTTGGTCTTATGAAATATTTGGCTCGAGAAAAATATGAGAGTTGTTTTTAATAGTGCAAAGAGGTTTTGAGGGAGGTTTGAACCCTGACTGGGTTCAACTCCTCCTTTTAGATTTTTATTTTTAAGGACTTCAGCAATTATTCTTTTAACTCTAATTCTCTTGAAATGAAGTAATATTTAGTACTGTTTAGTAATTTTTTAATTTGTTAATTTTTTTTGGCTCCTTTTATCTTGGTTTTCCCCCCTTATTCTTCTTATATTTTTTCTTTTTTTTTTATGACTATTTTTTTCGTTAAAAAATTTGGGTGTATTAGAAAAAAAAAAAAGTTTGTTTAGGTGTATTAGAAATTCGATTTGGTGCACTATTTGCTGAAATCAAGCCAACCTGCCTCAGAAAGTTGACACAAATTTTGGAGCCTCATCTTCCTTACCTGCATCCGATCCCAGACCTCAGAGTTCACTTATAGAGAATGACAAGTAAAATGAGATGATGTCATTATCCTTTTTTTTTCCGAGTACAAAAATGAAAAAAAATTCAGTAGGTAGATATACTCAATACTTAGATTCATGACAAAGATGATTTTTAGGTCAGTTATGATTCACTGCTTTAACCTACTGATTGTGCAGGCACAAACAGGTGATGTTGGAAGCTTATGACCAACAATGTGATGAAGCAGAAAAAATATTTGAAGAATACCACAAACGTCTACGGTTTTATGTGATTCAAGCAAGAGAGGCTCAAAGGTCTAGTGCAGACTCTTCCATTGAAGTGATTAATAACTTTAATGCAAATATTGAGAGGGAAGCTGTTTACTCAACTGTTAAAGGCAGTAAATCAGCAGATGATATGATTCTTATCGAGACTACTCGGGAGAGAAATATCAGGAAGGCTTGTGAATCTCTTGCAGCTCTCATGATTGAAAAGATACGATCTTCTTTTCCTGCCTATGAAGGCTGTGGTATTCATTTTAATTCACAGTTGGAAGCATCCAAATTAGGTATTGATTTTGATGGGGAAATACCTGATGAGGTTAGAACTATTATTGTTAATTGCTTGAAGCATCCTCCCCAACTGCTTCAGGCAATTACAATGTACACTCTACGGCTTAAAACTCTAGTTTCTAGAGAGGTGGAAAAGTTTGATGTCAGAGCTGATGCAGAAACCTTGAGGTAAATATTTTCTTGTTGGACCACTCTTCTTTATTTTAGTTTGTCAGATTGGTATTTTCTGCACTCCCGTCCTAGAACCCTTTTTTTTTGGGGGGGTGTCGGTCTTTGAGGTTTGATCTAAGTGTTTATTTGGTCTCTGGTTAAGGATCCCACATTGAAAAATAAGGGACCTAACAAGGGTTTATAATACAAATGAGCCAGTTCTCTATTTGCCAATTGTTTTTGAGATAGAGACTCATGAATATTGATATGGTATCAAAGTCTAAAAGCTTAAATGAGCATCCGGTCCAAAAATGGAATCCGACCAAGATTGGTGAATCCAAAAGAGACAGCATCTTTAGGGGTTTATTAAAGATCCCACGTTGAAAAGATAAGGGACCTAACAAGGGTTTATACATATTAGCCCCTTGTTTTCCATCTTATAGTCTACTCTACCATCTTGGAGAAGCCCTTTCTTAAAGCAATTTGGAGGCTAAATACCTTGAAGAAGATAAATTTTTTTTCTTGAATTTTAGCTTTTAGGTCTTAATACTATGGAGGGAGTCCAAACAAAAGATCCAAGTATCTTTTTTGTCCCAATTGGTGTGTTATATGTTGGGGCTCTTTTGGAAAATCTATTTCTTTGTTCTTCTATTGCCCCAAGATCTACTGATGCTGGTCCAGCTTGACGAGAAGATTTGACTTTCTGCAGTGTTTCTCATATGACTAGAGAAGCTACTTTCCTACTTTCTGATCATTGCTTTTTTGAACAAGAAATTTTTTTTCATTAATGATTGAAAAGCTAAAAAAGAGTACAAGAATGCAAAGTCGACAAAGTGCAGACTAAGAATAATCTTTTTTATCATTATCTTTAAAGATAAATTATAGGTCTTGTTGTCTAATGTGGTTAAGCCCTGCTTTGGGAGTTTTGGGTGGAGACGAATCAAAGAACTCTCAAACAGAAGTATACAGAAAAGAAACTAGCTGGACTTTTGGCCTCTAATTGGTGTAATTCTAGATTGTTATGTAATTATAGTTCCTCTTTTATCATAATAAATTGGAGTCCTTTTGTAAACTCCCTTAGTTCTTCAAGTTGATAGCATATCTACCATCTTCCATAATCTTCTTCACTCATGATATATATATTATTTATAAAAATCAAACTTTGATGGAGAAAGTTACAAGATTAAAAAAGGGCATACAAACAGATAGCACAAGATAGGAGCCAACCAACTAGCTATACAATAAAGGACTCCAACCTAAGATAAGAAGACCTAGTGGGTAATTACCTAAATCCTGGAGATTGACGCCCAAATAGAAGCATTATACTTGGCAAGAGACCAAACATCTTTTCAAGATCTCATAAAATCCTATTATTTCTCTCCATTCAAAGGTTTTGAAGAATTGAAAAAGGCTACTATGTCACTAAATCCAAGCCCTATTAAATGGTGGAAAAGGACCTCCTTCACCCTCAAGCGGCACTATCTGTTTCTAGCCAAACCAACATTAAACAGCTAAAAGGAAAAAACCCAAGCGAACTGGCAGCTCCACTCATGATATATTATTCCTTATCTAAAAATAACCATGGTTACATAGTTGAGGTGGTTTTAAGAACCGAAACCTCTTAGACTCATCTATCTAGGGTACAACCTTTGTAGACAAGTGACAGAGGATCTTGACCAATTCTTGTTGAGCTTTTTTCGTTCGCACAGGCTTTATGGAGTCACCTTGTGTCAATTTTTGGGATTTGCGGAGCAAGTAATAGAGATTGTTGTTCTAGTATGGAGGAGGTTATCCTGAATCCTCTTTTTCAAGAAAAGGACACAATCCTCTTGTAGATTTGTTTCTTTGCTATTTTGTGCAATATTTGGCTTGAGAGAAATGTTAAAGTTTTTAACGGGGTTGAGAGATACTGGGAAGAGGTATGGTATATTATTAGGTTTAACACCTCTTTGTGTGCTTCGGTTAGTTAACCGTTTTGTAATTATCAATTAGGTATTATGCTTTTGGATTGGAGTCCGTTTATGTATAGGTAGTTTCGGGACTCTCGTATTTTCTTTCATATTTCTCAGTTTTTTCATTAGAAAAAAATTGTTGTTATTGGGTGTTAAAAAATTATTGTCTACATCAATGTCCCATCAATTTTTTGTACTAGAATCAATTTTCTGTTACTAGGATCATTGAGATTAATTAATGAAAGTAACAGGACAAAATTGGAACTTTTAAAAATATAAAGATGAAATTGACACAAACATGACAACATAGGGGCGAAAGGTATAGATTAGCCTTTACCTTAATGGTGAAGCATGTGCTTCTGTTACATTATGTGTGATGTACATGTTTCTGTGCAACGTCAAATTAACATCTCTGTTTGACTAATTTGATTAGGTACAAGTATGAGAACAATAGAGTTACAGATGTTTCATCCTCTGATGTCAACTCACCCCTTCACTATGAACTGTATGGTAATGGCAAGATAGGAGTTGACGTACCTTCTAAAGGAACTCAGAATCAACTTCTTGAAAGACAGGTCCTATTCTTTATCAGTTACAGCTTCTGTATTGCACCAGCATATTTTATAAAACTATCTGGATCAGTTTCACTCATGAAGTTTTCCTTGCTTTTATTTGGACCTTGGTTTTTTATTATTGAATATGATTTCATATTATAGTTTGTAGTCTCTCTTCTGTGTCTCGTTTATTGATATCTGGGTACTAATTTTCCATAGAAAGCACATGTTCAACAATTTTTGGCCACTGAAGATGCTCTGAACAAAGCTGCAGAAGCTAGGGACATTTGTCAAAAACTTTTAAACCGATTACATGGCAGTGATGATGTAATTTCTTCTCATTCCCTTAGTGTTGGGGGGCCATCACAAAATGTCGGTGGTCTTAGACAATTTGAGGTAATTCTACTCTCTGCTAACTAGGAATAAGAATTTGATTATAACACTTTCTAGCTTTTTACATGGTCTGCCAACAGAAGTTCTGGATTCTTTATATTTTTCTATCTCCGGTCAAGGATTATTTCTAAAAAAAGGTTGGTTTATCTTGATGCAGTTGGAAGTTTGGGCCAAAGAGAGAGAACTTTCTGGCTTGAGGGCCAGCTTGAATACACTTATGTCAGAAATACAACGCTTGAATAAGTTGTGTGCAGAAAGGAAAGAAGCTGAAGATTCATTGAGAAAGAAATGGAAGAAGATAGAGGAGTTCGATGCGCGCAGATCTGAACTTGAAACCGTATATACTGCCCTTCTAAAGGCTAATACCGTAAGGAAATCTTATATTCTAAAGTTACATACCACTCTATATTTTTTCTTTTCCAATTTCCATTGTAAATTGAATTGTTGGTTACAACACTTGAAGAAAAAGTGGTAAAGAAATAGTAATCTGAAACATGGGTTCCACAATTTTGTAGGATGCTGCTACATTCTGGAATCAGCAGCCTTTAGCTGCAAGAGAGTATGCTTCAAGCACCATCATCCCTGCATGTGTCATTGTCTCTGATATTTCAAATAATGCAAAAGAGCTTATTGATAAAGAAGTTTCAGCCTTTTATAGAAGTCCTGATAATACTCTTTTCATGCTTCCGTCAACTCCACAGGTTCATCAAAAACTTTAACATACTTTATGATACTTTCAGTTTTTGCTATTAATTAATATGCAGATTCTATTCATGAAATTCTATCACGCATCCTCTTTGATTATTTCATGTCAGGCACTGTTAGAATTCATGGGTGTAAATGCATCGTTAGGACCCGATGCCATTGCTGCTGCAGAGAAGAATGCTGCAATGTTGACTGCAAAAGCTGGTGCCAGGGATCCATCAGCGATACCTTCTATATGTCGTGTTTCTGCCGCCCTTCAATATCCAGCTGGTGAGGCTCCTTCCTTTTAAGATGATGTATATGACTTGCAGTATTTTTGGTAATTGCTTTCTAACTGCTTGGATCATGTGGATGCATTTGGTGAATCATGCATCTTTTCTTTACTTGAACTGAACTCTTGAGTGTTGTTAGGTTTGGAGGGCTCCGATGCTAGTTTGGCATCGGTTTTGGAATCTCTGGAATTCTGCTTGAAACTTCGAGGTTCTGAGGCTAGTGTGTTGGAGGACTTGGCTAAAGCAATCAATTTGGTCCATATAAGGCAGGATCTTGTCGAAAGCGGTCACGCATTGCTGAAACATGCCCACCGAGCTCAGACCGATTACGAAAGGTAACTAAAATATGCTACCAATGGTAGATTTTCATAACATTAAGGCCTCCAGTTCTTGGTCGTTAAGAAGAGCTCACTGTAATAGAACGAGACCATCTAAAAATATTAAAACAATATACTACTCCGTGGACCAATAAATTAAAAACGAACATTTATCATTGGAATCACCATTAAAATTTTTTCATTCATTTGATTTTAACATTTTTCATTACCTTGGATTGTTTAGTTTGTTATCTTATATTTCAGGACGACAAAATATTGCCTAAATTTGGCCACGGAGCAAGAGAAATCTGTCGCAGAGAAGTGGTTGCCTGAACTAAGAACTGCAGTCTTGAGCGCTCAGAAGAGCTTGGAAGATTGCAAATATGTCAGGGGATTGGTAAGGGATTTTATTATTCTTATTTTTTAAATAAAAAAAGAGAGAGAAACATAATTATTTTTATTGATGATATTACAACAGAACCAAAAACTAGAAAAAGAGTACACATCTCTGAACCCACCAACCTGGAAAGAGACCTAAAACTACAGAACCTTTTCTTAATTTTTTTGTTATCTAGACTTTTAAATATTTTGCTTTAATCTGTATTATTATTAAATCTTGAATAATGACATGGTGCTGCAGCTTGATGAGTGGTGGGAACAACCAGCATCAACTGTTGTTGATTGGGTCACTGTTGATGGGCAAAATGTTGCTGCTTGGCATAATCATGTTAAACAACTTCTTGCCTTTTATGACAAGGAGCTCTTGTAGCAGAAAAAAGCATTGAATTGAAATCTTGATGCAATTGAGGCATAATTGGTCTGCTCGCGCCCCGTGTTTGCTTGTATTTCTTTGTACCACTCACATGTTAAACTTCATAACCACGTAAACTGCGAGCAGGACGTCTGGAAATGTCGATGGGAAATCTTGTGTGATTTTAGTAGAGGAATGGTGGAGGCCGCTGGGGTGAAGAGTGCAATGGCCAATATCTCTACGCGTTTCATCATTGACGTACAGCTAGAACTCCCTTCTCCCTCCCTCTCATTATAGAATCTGTAAGTCATGTTTCTTCCAATATTACATCTCACGAGTGACGAGCAGCTGAGTATGGCTTGATTTTTCGCTGCCCGTGTCGTTTTCCCCATTGTTTTAGTCCCTTATTTTGTATCTAAGGTAGTGTGATTTTCATCATAGCAATTATGGTTGTAATTCTACTCTTATTGTGTGATTAATGGTCATATTTTAGAGCTGGTTGGAAGTATGAAGTCTTTCCAGTTTTTAACATGTTTGTCTTTTAGAGTCACTATTTGTGTAACACTGACTTCCAAGTATAAACTCCTCCAGATCATCCCCTTCAGCAAAGAAATCTGATTACTTTTGAAATCTTTTGATGTGTTTTTGGGATGTGATAACACGATGCAGGAAGCGTGAGTTGTCGATCAAATCGAGTCATCTTCATTTGAATCACAAGGATTAACTTCCATGGTAGGTACTAAGTAACATTGATTCTTGGAACGCATGTCAGTGTAGATTTGATACTAAGGTTTTTTATTAGCCACTTTGAATTTGTGTCGGGCATGGCTTTATGGTCTACAATGCACACATAATGTAATTATTTGAAGGGAAGGAACTCATCTTATTACAGCTTGACTGGAATATCAAATCCTTCGATTATTTGCAAAGAGATGCCAACATGATTTTTGCAGTTATATATATATATATATTATTGGAGTATAACAAAGGTCGGAAAATAAGATTTGAATCTTCAATCTCAAGTGCAAGAGTAGATATTATTTATTGTTTGATATATTGAGTTTAATATCTTATTTTTGTTTGATATATTGAGTTTAAATTAATTAATTAAAACTAATTAAAAAGTTTAAGTTAAATTTATAATCAACCTGATTATATATTAAATTAACATGATAAATTATTGACATGTAATAATTGAATAATAACTAATTGATTGATTGATTAATATATATAGTTAATTAATTTTCACTGATAAAAATATATTAAATTAATGTAATTAAGTATTTTATTAAAAATAAGTAACAAATAATCTAATGATCTATATTATTTCTATTATTTAAATTAATTTAGTGTAAGGATTTACCTTTTGAATAGTTATAATTTATTATTCAATTAAAATTATTCACTCATTACACATAATCAATTAAATTTTATTTATTTATTGAAATATTAGTTCACTAATTAATATATCACAATTATATATAATTATAAAAAAAGAAACATTGTAAAACAAACACAAATATTAATTATTTTCATAAAAATTTGATAACATTTCTATTTTTTTTTCTTTTTCTTTTTTTAGTACAATAAATTGGGGTATTGATATTTGAACCTCCAACCTAGTGAGAAAAGGAGTAGATGTTAATTATTGAGCTAATTGGCATGATAACATTTTTGTTACCTATAGTCAAAGTGAACATAACTAATCGGTAATTGACATATATTTCAAACCAAGGGGTTGTGAATTCGATCCCCCACCCTCACATAATGTACTAAAAAAACATATTTTTGTTACCTAGGGCATTCTGTGAAATCTTAATTCGAATATCCCCTTATTATGTATTTGTACGCTTCTGTCCATTGGTTTAGAGGCAATTCTCTAAATTGATCTTGAAAATATTTAATTTTACTGCTTATTCAAGTTTCGACTCACTATGTCAAGCAAGGTTTTAAATGTCAATGTCGACGTGTCGACGGATATTTAAAACCATGATACAAGTGAGAAATAAAATTTTCCCATTACATTCATTTTAAGGTTAAAAGTATAAATTTAGTCCCTATGATTTTAAATGTCTCAATTTAGCCCTTGTGGTTTAGACCTTTTTTTCTAATACAAAAACACGCAAGGGTAGAAATTTGCACGTCAGAGTAGAAATTCGAACTCATAACTTTTTGGTCAAAAATAGGTGTGTCTTAAGCAGTTGAGTAAAGCTCAGGTTGGCTTAGTTCAGTTCTCGTAATTTTAAAAGTTTCAATTTGATTCATATGGTTTAGGCTAGTTTCAATCGTATAGTTAAATTTCACGAATTGTGCCTAAATTCTATTGTACTTACTCGAAAAATTCAACTCTTTCATTTTATTTTTTAGCCATCTCTAAACTTTAAACATAATAAAATAACATTGTTATGGTGAGATAAAAGAAGAATAGACTAAGCGATGGGGCCCGAAGGAAATCCGAGAGAAAGCCCAAACCAGGAAAGGGGGGCCGGCACATGACGTCTTGGGCCGGCTCCTGGCCAACTAGGCCTCGGTGCCGAGTAGTTCGCGGTCTTGTGGCGGTTCATCACGAACGAGCGGATCCGAATATTAAGATGTATGAGGATTCGACTGGGTAAACCCTAAATGAATTAGAACTCGATTTCTATAAATAGAAGGGTAAGCCAAACCCTAGAGGTATGCAAACACAATTAGCCAAGTAGAAAACATCAGGTGATTACTTTTAAAACCATAGGAATTTAATAGGAACGAAATCACAACCCTAATAACTAAATCGAAACTTTTAAAATCACAAGTGACCCAACTAAAACAACGTCTTTCAAACCATAGGACTAAGTTTATAATTTAACATACTTTTTGAAAGTATTTCACCATTCACTCCAAAAGAGTGAAGCAACAAATGCATTTTGGACAATCTCTCTTTACGAAAAAGCATGACCAGAAACACATCGACAAGTGAGGGAGAAAAAATAGGAAAAAAAAGGTCCAATATTTTTACAATCAAACAATTTCAATCGACAGATCACAGCTTGTGGTATGAACGAATTTCGCTCTTCGACAGTCGGTTGGTACAAGTAGCTATCTGTGTGTCACATTTCATTGCCAATCAAAAACACACAGAATGGACAAATGTATTATCTCATTAATGAAACCAAATGGAATTCAACAAAACGACACTAAAAAGTTGCATTAAATCACATAGATGTGAGCACCCCGTGATGGTCGGACAATGACCATATTGTCTTTCCTATTGCTACCCCGTGAACACTCTTTCAGCTCATTCATCTTAAATATATGTTGTTTTATATAATCCGAGTATTAGTTCAATCATAAAAGACATCTATTTATTCCTTTAAAAGTCGGAAGTTTAAATTCAATTATACGATAAGTCAAGAGTGTATTTAGTTGGTAATATGAAAACAAAATATTCATCCATTTTTGAGTGTTATGGGAATATGTATTGGGTAGACTATATGGAAATTGATGTCAATTTAAAATATTATTTTAACATATTTGTGAGGTGGTAGTTACCGACTAAATATTTAGTTCAATCTAAAATAATATTTAACTAATTTATTAACATGTTATAAGTTTTGTAGAATTATTATTTTACAATATTATATAATTTATAATATATTAATTCTACATTTTTTAATTAAAATGAAATGAGTTTATAATATAAAGTCATAGTGTACCAATCATAGTTTGTATCTCTTTTTAATACAATTCTACATTTTAAAGTTTCAAATTCAAAATTTAAAAACAATATGTTTTCGAAACTTCTATTATTTAGATCACAAAATTTAGAAATAGTTTTTTAAAAACACCTGTCAAACACATATTTACGGAACTCATCTAATCCAGTAAATCTAAAAACAAGAAACATAATTAGGATTGCATATCAAATAGTTGCTACAATTTTTCTCTTTTTCTCTCTTTTTTTTTTTTTGTGTGTGTGTGTGGAGTTTGTAAATGCTTTTATGTACTTTCATTCTTCCATCGTAATGGCTTTTCTTTGCTATACATTTGTCTTTTAAGGTTTGGACACCCTTTCGTCACAAGTAATTTTTTGATAGTACTTCTTTTGAATTTGGTTTGTATAGTTTTAAATGAATTTCTCAAAAGGTTCGTATTGTTACCAAATGTTAAGAGTTTGTGTTTTTTTAGTTCTAATTATCTTAGAAGTTAGGTTTCATAATGAAAGTTATAATATTTTAACTAGCTCAGTTATATCTCCGTCAATAATGTTAATAATTTTTGTTATGGTGGGTATTATCATTAGTCATGATTGAGAAAAATGATGAAACTCACGAATGATTGAATGTTATGTTTGTGACTTGAAATGAATAAAACGGCAAAAAGGAGCATGGGGTAATTGACATAAATCTCCAAACAAGAGGTTGTGAGTTCGATCTCTGAAATAGAAGGAAATATGTAACATTAGAGACGGGAAAATTTAATCCAATTAGTGTTTTGGATGTTCAAATTCGAGACAAATTTTGAAAAGATAAAGAAGTGAAAAGGTAAACCATGATTTTTTTAAATTAATCTATAAAATGATCATCCATGAAAATTAAATAAGTTACACAAAAATAAAAAGAAAACAAAATTTTTTTTAGTTGAATAACACCATAGAGATGAAAACTTAAATCTCTTATCTTTTGGTCGAGAAAATATGTTTTAATTAATTAAACTACGTAAAGTTTGACAAAGAAAACAACTTTTAAGACATGATTACATTATGCGGACATGCATTTCATTGAATTTGTGAATTTGTTCCAAAGTATAAAATGTTGTTATCCAAAATCTCTCGAGTTTCTAAAAAGTCACTTTTCTTTTTCCCTTTCATAACTTACTCAAATTTTCAAAAGATTCTTTAAAAAGTATAGTACATAAAATGAACAACCCCATCCTACTTAATTTATGAATTTTGAATTTCAATTAGTTAGTGCAAAAAGATTTGAAAAAAAAAAAAAGAAGAAAAGAAAAGTCATATCTTGTATCTTTTTCAGTTCAAAAAATTATAGGATGTAATCCAACCATTAATTTTTTAGATGCTTTTCTCATCTTTTTCTAAATAATTGTTAATATCATGTTATCATTTATTTTGCACACTTTAAAAAGAATGATCATTAAAATATTAATTAGTTATTTATGATGTGCCTTTTGAGAACCCTATAAATTACACCTTATGAAACAAACAAAAAGCTTATATGGTCTCAAGATTAGGAAGATTTTATTAACTTATTGACACCATGTGGGATAGTGGTCATGCTTTCCCATTAACTCAATCATAATCTTACAAGTCAACAAGTATTTAAATCCAAATCTCATAATATAAATAAAGTTAATTAAAAGGCCATTTTAGTCCCTACATTTTTTAATAAAATATCCAAATTTACTCTTTACACATTTTATAAATTGTAAAAATACTCCCCATGCTTAACTTTTGAAAAAAAAAAAATTCTTTTAGGTCTTCTCGGTGTATATTTGGGTATTATATTCTCATTAATTCTGTCATTTCTTGAATGAAAGTTATTATCATTAGGTTAAAATATAAGTTTGGTCTTAATAAATTCTTAAACTTCTACTAATTTTATGTCTAATACATCTCTGACTTGTTAAACATTTTTTAGAATTGGAATTCAAGATTAAGGATTTAAATAGAACTTTTTAAAGTTTGAAAGTCTATTATACGCAACAACATTATTAATAGTTAATGAATTTATAGGATGTTTTCTTAAAAAAAAGAAAAAAAATTATTGAATGCTTTTTAAAGTTGAGAAACTTGTTAGAGAGAATCTTGAAAATTTAAAAATCATTCTTCTTATTATTAATTAGTAAAAAAATTAACCTCAAACTAACAGCTTCAAATCTTACACTTCACACGCTTGTGTTCTAAAAATATAAAAATAAAAAAGACCTCAAAAGGACGGCAAGAATTATTTTTAAGATTTATTGAAAAAATTAAATTTGAACATTTAAAACTACATAGACTAAAATAGTATAAATTCGAAACTAAAATAGTATTTTAATCTGAAAACAATCTTACAATTTCATCTCTCTTAAAAATGAACAAACCACCGCTCAACTTAAAAATTTAAGTTGATAGGTTGGATAAATTTAATTTATTATATGAATGTTGATACGCAACATCCACTTAGACAAAACAAAAGAGCATATCACACACAATAATGGCATCTTCTGTGTGGAGGAGAAA